TATGACAAACAGTAGACAGCATGCAAACGGAAGTCGCTACGCATGACCGAGTTTCAACCTCTCCCCCCCTCCCCACCATCCCCTCATTAGACACCTCATCTACCCCCCCCCAACATAAACCACATGGAAGATTTTGTTCTTGTTTTGTATTTTGATATGTATATCATCATGTATAAAAGAGTATGTAAATAATGTATTGTGATATTGAAGTTGATTTTCAGTTATATTGCACAAGTAATAGTTTACGAGGGATATATTTTATATGTATATGTTTATATGAGTGAGAATGCGTATTAGTATCCTGTATAAAAATCGTACGGAGGTTTTGAAATCCATGTTAATAACTTATTAATAACTTATTATTAGCATGAAAGGTTTTTATTGTATAGGTTCTAAGTGCACACTTCTGTTTACATAATTGAAATTAACTGAAAGGAATAATACCATGATCTCATTCATGGGAATTTAGAATTACTGTAATTTCAAAAGCGATTTCCCTATTTTTCGACATTTCTATTAAACAATAAACTAGATCTAAAATGTGGAATGTTGAAATATATTTATAATTGAATTTTGCATCTCTTCTGGCTGTATTTACTGAAAGGTATCGTTTTGTAATCACACAAAGTTTCCATCTATTTTTCTACGCAAATTTTACCATCAATTAACGCTAATTTTAGTTAATTAATTAACGCTAATTTTACCATTTTCCGTTTAACGTGTTGAAGACGTGTTTCTGCATCGAACAATTCAGGACAATACTGATATCAATCTAATATTATTTTTCCCCCGTCCAATCATGCCATAATTGCAATCAAATTTATCATGAATATAATTCTTATTCTATACCCATTCCTATAGCCATAAACCTTTCACGATAAGGATTTATAAAGAATAAAAAAAAAATACAGATAGAGTGTGCTTATTATCTGGACGTCTTTGTTTACACGCGGAAAAACATCCTGAAAGCAGGTATTTTATTCACGTTTTTTGGGGAGTTGTGTCATTTTATTCTTACTATTGTTTAAGTATAAGTGTGTGTGATTGAGGTGTGATTAAGTGATGATTGTGATTGTGTGTGATTGAAGTGTGATTAAGTGTGAATGAGGAGAATGTACTTAGAGATTATTGTGGTAATTTTTTGAATTCCACGAGGTATAGATTTTATTACTTCATGTTTAGTTATTAATGTTGGTTTGTATTAGCTGATTTTTAATTGTCTTCCTATACATCTAGATCTTGCAGTAGTCTTATGTTGTTCAGATGAGGAGCTGGGAAAATACAATTAATAAAAAAACATAAAAGGAGACCGAGATTCTACCAAACTGCAATTCGGTGCAAGTTCCCGGCTAATCTCAGATAATTCCCAGATAATTCTCAGATAATTCCCAGATAATTCTCAGATAATTCCCAATAATTTCCAGATAATTCCCAATAATTCTCAGATAATTCCCAATAATTCCCAGATAATTCTCAGATAAATTCCCACTAACAGCACCAAGTCCAGCAGTGCCACGGCCCATGCTAGGCTATATGTCCTCTGGCAAAGGCCAATAAACCCGACCACATATATATTACTAAGATAGAGCTCGACCGAGATCCTAAGCCAATGATAACTTGGCAGAGAGATTGTTAGGCCTATAGAATTTATAGAATATACTAAATATACTAGTGAGTGGATTGTTTGCCTGCGCTGGAGTTCAAGGCGTTGGTATAGGGGCCACGGCTTTCTTGGACTTAGTTGTGTGAAGACGGATTCGCTGTCTTTGGCAAGTAATTCAGGCCAGAGCAACACAATGCGCAGATTATTGTTTTCATATATTGTTGTTTGATTTGTTCATTATGGTTTTCATCGTGGTGTTTCCATCTGTATGTGGTTCTATTCAGGGAAAATGTAGTTCATGGAAAACAGAATTTTGAAAGTATACATGATGAGATGCAATGAAAAACAAAATCTTTTTCTTTATGATTTTGTACGTGCTCTAAACACGTTGTAAACAAGATCTTAGTTGCACATGTCAGCCTAGGTCTAAACTAACCCCAAACTTAACCAAATTAAATAACGCCGTGGATATTCGTCCGGTGCCGGATCTTATCACATTTTGGCTATTCTTCCAGCACGCATGCAAATTAACTATTTATGCAAGTAACTTTTTATTAACTATTAACTATATTAACTATTTATTTTGTGCAAGTTTCGTTGTTGTATCTCGTCTCTGTTGGGATATTTTATCCGGCATTTTCTGTCGGACACCTATCCTGTAGAGCTATTTTCCCGGTAATATTACAGGATGCAATTTTTGTTTGCTAATTTATTGAAAATCTCCAGCTTGTCATTATTCAGCAAATTTGTTTGTTTTCGGAGGTCCGTGTGGAAAATAAATAGCAGAGATAGATAGATAGAGGGTGATAGCAGAGGGTTGGGTTGGGTTGTTAGGTTATGTTAGGTTAGGTGAGGTGGTTAGGTTAGGTTAGGTTGTTAGGTTATGTCAGGTCTTAT